ATTACTTTCTACTATTCTATTTTTTACACTCAATCTATACAAAAGTCGTTTAATTTAAATCGATTAAATCCTTTTTTGTTTTAAGCTTTCGGTACGAACGTAAGAGAAAAATGTTTGATCCGATTAATACACATACGTTTATATACGCGTCAATATACACACGAAGTGCTCTAGCGCTTGACTTTTTCAAGGGAAGCTTATCGATACTGTACCAAAGTTTCTCTGGTTCATGTCAAATGCTCCACTATTATTGTACTAATGAAAATGTAATTATCCACGATAATTTAGAGCTTAAGCAGAATTCATTCTTGTTTTCATTCATTTTTTTATGTTACAATGGTTTTCCTTTTTTTCCTTTTCATTGACATAAGGTGCTACCCAACTGGAAAATAAACTTCACCTACCACATTTTTGTAATTTACGACACAATGATCTAATATTGAAAAATTGGTACTACACTATGTTGAATTTAATGTAATGTTAGTGTAGTGAAATAAATAAATAAAAAATATGAGGATTTAAAAAAAAAAAACCATCGAATGTGCCAATACCGCTTGCGTACACGCACCTGAACGTGAGTGACAATAGATACGACTTTTTTTTTTTTCTCTCCGCTACATCACGTTCTCGTGGATAGGTATAAATTATTTATAGATTTTCCTTCCAATGGATATACCCCGCGTACACGTATGAACAAAATAATCAACAAAAACCAACGAAGCCTTGATAAATTATTAATTCACACTAAATCCTCGAACAATGGACTCATCATTTGCTACTAAGCGATATACCTTTATTGATATTCTTGGAACAATAGTTGTCAGAACGAGAATCAACGACAACACAAAAGCACAAGATCCGGAAGAGTATATGCGACATCGACGACACATCATTGGCACTTTATCAGACACAAACTCCTCGAACCCAATAACCATTTTCCACGGTCCCTTTGGGCAGCACCTCATCCCTTGAAGCAAGACTCGCACACGCCCGGCAACTTTTGCAGCATACAATACATACGGAGACACGTACACCTCCCCGGCGGATGCAAACACCAATGAAAGAGTTCGCTTGACTTTATGTACATGTATAAGGTACATGCATATAACAAAGCACATGTATAGGCAATATACATAGCGAGTGTAGATTCAGAAAATAATATTCCGCTCACGTATATGTACGTGTATAAACGAAGAAGGAGAAGAAGAAGAAGAAGACGCACGCGAGGCGATACAGGGGGAAATAGCACGTACGCGATACCATAGGCGCCAATACGATCATCAAGCGTGTACGCGTGTACGGTCGTCATCGTATGGCTATGCGCGATGGAATTCTCTTATCGGATGTCTATATGTATAATATGTGTACGTGTGTGGGTGAGGGGGCAGGGGGTCCTGTGTGTATACATGGCCGGAGACTATTGGCAAAACCCGACACGTACGAGTATTCAAAGTATTTCGAAATATTCAAAGTGTGTACGTATGTATAGACATATATATATATATATATATATATATATATATATACACACGCGTGTGTTTCTATCTCGTGCGTACGTGCGTAAGTATGTGAATGTGTGCGGGGAGTCCCCCTCTGCGAGCGCTTGTGCGGTTTTTCTGCTCAAGGACAACAGGCTTTCGTCTCAAGGATGAGTATTTCCCCCCCCCGTCTCTCTACCGCAACAAACTTCTTCCTTCTTTTTCTCTTGTAGCGAGGTATAACGCACAAGTGAAAGGGACAAAAAGGATGGAGATTGATTTTCCCTTTTCGCTAAATGAAAGGAAACGAAGGATTGTAAGGATTAAGGTGGCCAGTTTTGGGGTTTGCTTTAAATTCTGGATTTTTCTACGGACTTGGTAAACTCGACGGTCTTATTTTAAGCAAAACAACCGTATTTTTGTCGCGTTGTGGCTCGTGAATGTTAATTTTTTAAGCTGCAAGCCGAGAACAAAGTGTAACGTTTTGGGCCCCAGTCCGTTCTTTTGTTCGCAGGATTTAAGTGGGCACTTGTAGTTTTTGCACGAAATTTCCAGGTCGCCTCAAGGATTTCGTGCGTGTATAGCGCGTCACAAGAGCTGAGCGTAAAAATAAAAGTACAGAGTTCGGGTTTGAACAAAATTTGTTATTTCATGGATTATTCTAAACTTTGAAACAAAATTTCTTTTCCTGAACATAAGTAAAAAAATTAGTCACTTTTTGGTGAAAAATCATGTTTGAAAAACATTGAAAAAGCATCCTCGCCCAAGTCCGACAAAGTTGTAAAAATAACATTGTCGTAGAGCACGCGTGCACGTATGAATATGAGAACGAGATTCCTTCAACAGCATAGTTTCGGCGAGTTTTTTTTTTAAACTTTTTTTTTTTTTTTTTATCACCGAACTGTAAAAGTTGGGAGAAAAGAAGCGTCGCCAAACGTATTCCATTTTTATGCACTCCTTTTACAATGCTCGTACGAGTGGACGGTCGGACGAATGCGGATAAGTTCCGAAGGACAGTTTCGAGTTTTTTCGTCACTTCCTCGAACGACGCTTGCAAACTAACGCGCGAATCTCAGAGTTTTGGTACATCGTTTTCCGCTTCGAGAACGCGCGGTACAGTTTTCAGGTTTGCGCGCCTCGGTTGCACTGAATTTACCGGAGAAGAAGACGAACAGAGACAAATAATTCTAACCGCAATAATTTGCTTCCCGCGTCACCGTTGCCTTATCGTTTGCAATTTATTTTTCATCATGTTTGCGTGCACGCACCGAACCGAATATACAAATTACGCCGTCGTCATATACACCTGTGATTAATTGATTTCAATTTCATCGCTGATTAACTGATTGTTAATTATGTTACAAATGCGTAAGTTTCCATTAGTTGCATTTTGGGAAGAATCGCCCGTACAGTGTGATCAACCGGGATACACAACGCAGATGAATAAATTAAAGTTGAACGATGAGTCACCGTCGAGCAATTTATCCACGATCGTTGGGTGTTGTTGTTTTATCGTTCGTTATCATGCAACGTAGTCCGAAAAGACCAGAAAAGCCAAAAATCCATTTTTTACGAAACGACTGCGATGTTGACATAAAACGATTTACGCTATCAGGTAAGGATGTGGTGTAAGTATGTATAAGCAGTATTGTTCGTATCATGAAATAATAGCGCCTATGATTAAAGTTATCGTTGTTGTTAATATTCTACGCAGCATCGCGATTTTCATCAGCAATATCGACACCTCGACCACACGGATGCTCGTCAACTTGAAAAGCCACAGTCCAATGATACAACAATAATCATGATGATGAAAAAAAAAAAAAAAAATAAATAAATAGCCGAACAGAGTGTGTGCACGTCCAAGCAGAAATCGCCGTCCCACCCGCGTCACATTTGCGGCCTCACACGCGTGGTTGGAGCGAAACATCTGTACCTATACTTCTCTTGCTCCTTTCACATTATACATATCCACGCGCGGGAGACGAATGGACTTTATCCCCCCGTTAGACTCGGACCCCCCTACAGCGGAGTTTGTCTCTTCAGGGCGGAAGTAAAACGAGATGAGACGCTATACATGTATATACAAGTATACAAGCGTGCATTTATAAAAGAGGATGCGACCCTTTTGGAGCTGATGGGCTCGAGTTGCGAATCAGAGGGTATATACACGTGCGACCCTTCCCGTTATCTCTCGCGGCTCCACGCGCTAGCTCTTATCTGACCTACGTATGCCATTCTCTCCCTCCCCCTCTGCATCGTTGTAATTTGTTCCATTAAATTAAATTAAATTACTCGGTTATCTTATGAAATAAATGAAGAAGAAAAAAAAAAAAAAAAAAAAGATAAATTAATAAATTATACCTAACAGACTATAAAAAACTGCTCCGCATTATATTGTCATTCGTACTGTAGTGTCCTTGGCATAAATAAATTGTTATCGCATTACCGATCTCGCCTCGAACAAGCTGGCCAGAGCCCTGTATTTGGCTACGCAACTGCAAATTTCTGAAATGCCGCAGACACACGCGAGTACTCTCGTCGTTATTCAAGCGCTGAGAGGAAAAACAACGACGGTTTCGGCGAAGAGGAGGGGGATTTTTCTCAAATCGGCAACTTTCAGGTGCTGGTTGTACCGCGAGACACGAGAGTCCGAAAAATCTCGTTTGATTGCATTCGAAGTTCTTAATCTCGGTTGTTACAACCGTATCGTCGTGGGTCGACTTTCACCACCTTCCAGCGCAATGGCGGCACAAGTTCAGCCCCAAACAAGGCTCGTCGGCCCGTATGCAATACACGTGGTCCAACGAGAAAACAACGGAGCGAGAGTCATTCCCGGGGCGTGGAGAAGGTGTGAAACGCGAAAGAGAAGACGGAGGGGGGGGGGTGTACAAGCGGGGACGCAGCCATCAAAAGTTTTAGCTGTACGTCGAGAGGGGGTGGGTGTGGAAGGGCCTCTGTTTCGCGTCTCGCTGACTCGAGGTGACAACCATAAGCAACGAGCCTCGGGTGTACAGCGTGCACTCGATCCCGCCCGAACGACGAGTCTACTAATTAAGTTTCAAAATTACTTCATCCGGACACTGCGCGACACCGAGGGCGAGCGATTTTCCCGTTCCTTTCCCTCCTCTCTCTGCGCGCGTTCCGTTTCGGTGATCTCTTCTCTACTGCTCTTGCTGGGAAAGAGAAGGGGGGGGGGGTGATGGCTCTTGTGTCGTGCAATTGGGATCGGATGCTCTCTCTCTCTTTTTTTTTTGTTCCGCTCTGTTTTTGATATTTTTCCGAAAGTTCGTTCCTTCCCTCGCGGGGGGGGGGGACGCTCGAGTCATATTTAATTGGCCTGTTGGGTAATTATTGGGCCGAAAGCGAGGCCCCCGTTGGGATTTAATTAATGAGACGGGGGCAGCGGCGGAGGGGGGAGTGGTTTTTCGTCGAGGCTGGGAGGGATGGTCAAACAAATGAGTAGACGAGGCTTGTTGAGATACGTAGGATTGAAGAGAAAAATAAAACAAAACAAAATGGTTTATAAATAACAAAGTTTTTGTTCAACAATGGGCTGCGTACGAGTACAGTGCGATAACGATACGTTATTACATACACACACATATATATATATATATATATATATATCTTACGAGCTACGTTATTATAGGCTTGACTTACCGACTAATTGCATGTATATAATGATAATCGTGTCAGTCTGACGAAATTGTGTGTGTTTTATTTTGCTGTTCCCTGATATGAGTCGAAAAGTTGAGTATAACCATTTTTACTATATACGGTTGATTGTTTATCAGTATTTGTTAAATATATACGTATGCGTATATGGACGGATGGAAGTAGATAATTTATCTATGGCATCGTGGTTAAGTATACATTTATCAAAAATCGAGTAAAACTTAGGAAAGTATAGAGCACACCTACCGATCTATCGATTAGTGGACACATACACGTAACGTATCATGTTATGATCCATCACTCTTTTTTTTTGTTTTGTTTTTTGTATAAATCTAACGCAATCTTACGATCGATGCAAGACAAATCCAGACATTTTGCTTTTCTTTTCGAGCCTCCGAGTGAGCGCGTGTACGTGTATGCATTAAAAAAAAAAAATAAATAAATAAAAAAAACGCTCGCTTATAATTTATAGTGTTGGAGGAGAAAAATAAAAGTGTCCGTTCGAAGGCACTCTCTTGAGAAATCACAGCAGAGAGACAAATAGGAGGAGAGGGACGGCGCTTATCCTCTCCAGAAGCTCTTCTCGGTGACGAGTCTGACCATCAGCGACAGAGCCATGAGGAAAATGATGACCGTCGCGGCGATCAGGATTGCGCTGTACTCTGTGAACAAATACACATGGTTCGTGTCACAAATATGCACCAAACTTTACATCCCCGAAAATTGCTCAGCTCTAAATTTAGATTCGATTAACGAACGGTTCAATAATTTAAAAAAAACCCCTCGACGCGTGAACATCGAATAAAGTCTTGGCGAGAGATAGTCTCTATCTTTTTCTCGCGTTTCGATAAAAAAAAAAACCCGAAATAGCCGTCTTCGCAGAAAGATCTTTATTTATTTTTTTTTTTCATCCCGTCCGCGCTTTTATACACCAGCGTGATTATCATATTTCCTTAGAAAATTTTTTACAACTCTATCGTTCGCGGTCGACGAGATTTTTTTATCGCTCCTTTGCTTGGATTTGTTCTTGTTCTCCCCCCCCCCTCCAAAACTCGCGTTTACGATCCGTCGTACGAAAAAACCATTGGCCCTTCCGAGAGAGACACCATTAGGAAAGTCTAAAAGTGACGTACACACATATGTATATGTATACACCTGTTGTAAATGATGTTTGTATAGAATGAGCTGGTAAACAATTGTAATTTATGCATCCGAATGTCAAGTCTCGCGTTCGTATTGACAAACAAAAGAGAGAGAGAAAAAAAAAAAAGGAGAGCCCATAAATATTCATCGAGGCGATTCATCTCGTAGGGAGCAAAAAGTTTTCGATGACTCATATCGTCACCTCGAACTTACTCCGGCTGGAGCCAGACGACGACTTGACGACGGGCCCGAGCTCCGGCACGATCCTCGACTGCTGGCGTGGCGCCTGGGCCGTGGCCGCCGTGTACGAGGGTGGCTCGATTTTGAAGATCCCGTAGCTGGTGAGGGGTATGGCGACCAGAGGCCTGGCGATCGTCCGGTTGTCCGTCTCGCACCTTTGAAACACGTACGACCACGGCAATCGCTGCTGTTGCTGGTGGTGGTGGTGCTCGGGGCTCGGGTCGACGAGGGAGGCGTAAGGCGGCGGGTCGTCCTCGCACGACCAGGCACAGCTGCAGTGGTACGTGTGCTGCTCCGCCATTGGCGTTTGCAGCCCCGAGGACGACGCAGAGGTCATCGGACCTGGTTGGCCTGCTTCAGGAAAAATACATTCACGCGTTACGCATACAGGGACACTCGATGCTGGTGGAATTGGGAAGAGGGGGGGGGGAGATAGTTCGCGTGTACCATGACAATTGGGTTATTTTTAGAAGCGTGACTCCGACCCTCGCTCTGCTTCCACGGGAGGAAATATTTGTCTTTTTCAAGCGACTCGGACGTTTTGTAACGCTCATTGATAAAATTTATTTTTCGTGTGTAGCTACTCTTTGAGGAACTATATTGAATTCCGGGGTCCGATGTGTTGTGGCGTGTTTCCCTTGGGAGCTTGAAAAACTCGAGAGTTGACGCACAATGGGTACATACCCCATCCTCCGGACGCGAGAACAAACATTTTTAGTGCAAACACGGGGAGTTTCACTTGAAAATATCTCAAACCCATTATTTGTGGACTACCCATGCTCCTTTTCTCGAGTTTATCGTAAATATATCTGCATCGTACTTGTGCAAAAGGCACGTTACGTTTAATTCAAGCTTATGACACAATTTGAGTGCACACCTGCACGTCACACTCTTTTTTTTTTTTCCCAAGCATCGAAATAGTTCAAGGGGAACCACACCATCGGCAATATTTTTCTTTGCCCTCGCGTCACGGGTTTTCTGAATTTTTCTGTCCGGTGCAGCGATCAAAAAAAAAAAAAAAAAAAAAAAAAAAAAAAGTGTACTCGCACTCACACATGCACATGCACACACAATTGCGGAGCAAAACCGGTTCGTCGCATGCAAATCTTATACGAGCGAGTTTCCGCTGCGGCAAGTACACCAGTGCACTTTTAATCGTCATTTCTATGAATATACACTGTAAATTAATCTTATCGCGTAACGAACATCGCGCGAGCGTAATTCATTTCATATCACTCCGAACGATTGTGGTGAGAAAAAAAAAAAAAAATAAATAAATAAAAAAGACTTGCAATGTCGACACGACAATTTTCATGTTATTGTTGATGTACTTGAACAATGCATTTTTCCGGTACAGCTTTTTTGTTTTTAGTGCTCGTCGGTCAAAATTTAAAAACACGTAACACTGAATGCCTGCGTCAATTAAACTTCCGAATGGGGCTTGAATAACCCAGGGATCCAAAGTTACGAGTAGCTGGAGTTTACTCTTCCGATTCACGAATTTTCGTCAAAGTTAACTAAATCCGGAAAATTTTGATTGATTGCCCTTAACTTTGTTTGATAATAGTGACATTTTCCTTCTATTGATTACCTTTTTCATTGAAATTCGAAAAACAACACCGTATTTAATTGATTACAATTTTTTTTAAACATGCAGTATAAAATATAAATCAAACAATGTGATGGATAAAATTTACTGAAGTAATAAAATAATGTCAAAATTATAAACTACTGATAATTAAAAAAAATGTGTTTTTCGTTTTTGAAAAAAACACTAGTAAAGACAAGCCTAAATAACGTATCACAAGGATATTAATTTTTCGCTTAACTTGCCTACTGGTTGTGTTTAAGTATAAATAACACATAAATAATATAGGAGTTGAAAGCTTTCTGGAGCATTCATTTGTTATACAAACAAATATCACGAAAACACGATCGATAGAGTGACCATCCGAATTGAGTTATCTCTTTTTCCGTGCTTTAATTTACGCTTTTCTGACTTTTCACCGGCCTCTGTCGAAAAAAATTTGTAGAGGAAGGATGTCACTTTTAGAACTTTTTGAAAAATTCATTTTGAAGTTTCGAAATGGTTTTAAAAAAGTGTCCACGATTTTTCTCATTGATGACGTGACATTTCGAATGACATAAAACCACTTTGAAAAATATAAAAAATTTTTTTTCATAATATAACCGCCATTGCTTGCAATTTCCCCGCATGTACAATAAACTACAATACGTTTTATTTAACTTTTACGCATCTTAAAGCATCCCTTTCGCTANAAAAAAGACTTGCAATCGCGAGTACCATTGAAAAATTGCTCAATAATTTGATTAATTTTCATTTCACAATTGATATGTATACTCGCATGGTCCTTTCAATTATCAGGTATGCGCTGTGGACGTTACCGTCGGAAGAAAAAAAAAAATGAATTTAGAGAAACAAGAAAAGGAAGGAAAAAATCTTTGACTTCCTAGATATCACTTGCAGGAAGTGAGCCCCAAAGAGCGCAACACTCCATTACCTTTCGTTGGCTCTTTCTTCACTTCTCTTGCGAAAATTACATAATCCAGCCGAGCATAAGCAGCTCCGTACTTACGAAAATACCGAGATCATAAGCTCATTTTATTCGTCCCGTAAACTTTAACGCGGCTACTTTGCGGGCCTCTTGCGCTGTACCTCCTACTCCTCCTCCTCCTTTTTTTTCCCTCCTATGAAAACGCATACAACTTTCACCAACGTAACAGCCGTCGTCATCGGCTTTTTAGCTGTTCGCGCGCGTAAGAACCTCACGTGTGTACACACACAGCTGCATAATGTTTGTGTATTTATATATATATTCTTATGCCTTTTTCCAAACGTTTTCGAGGATACGCGTATATATACGTATACAACACTTTCGAGCGCGTATATAATATATTATGTGGATTAGTTATGCAACGTGCGTTGTCTTGTATATCAAAGACACGGGAGAGAGAGATGGCCTTATGAAATTTCATTGGCGTTTTGTAATTCGATTATGTAAATCCGACGCGAGCTCGGAGATAGCGCGAGGGAATTTTTTCAACGACTCGCACCTATATAGTTAAGCTCAGTTAGAATCTTTTTTTTTTTTTTTTTTTTTAAATTAAAAAAAAAAAATGATAATAAACCGAGGAGTTGACGGTTGAAACGATCCGCACGTCGTCGATTGAGACTAAACCGCGAAAATTCATTTCTGCTCGCAACTCGGAAGAGTATAAGGTATAGAAAACAATTTGCATGATTTGCGTTGCGGCGTCCGCTTTTTATTTTCACTTAGCAGCGTGTCGATGCTTGTTCGTAACTTTTGTTCCACATCATTCTGGCACCAAAATGCAGTTTTTCTTTTTTTTTTTTTTTTATTTTTTCTTCTTGTTTTCGTCCTGTGAACTGTGCTGCTGAGGATGAAATGCAATTCGCCAACTTTTTGTCACGGACGAGCGCCGGGTTCCATCGTGGAATGCGCTTGATATTTTTGAGAACTGCGTCGATTATTTCCTTGACCATAAGATCAGAGACAATTACGACGCGAGGGTTATTTTTAGGACTCTACGTTTTTACGCGCATCTCGTTTGCCGCAAATTCAAATCGTGTTAATCGGTAACTTTGTAAAATTCATCGCAGCAATTTTTATAAACATATATGAAGAATAATGACACCGATTTTTTACCGACTACACCACTCGATCGGTTGCACCCAATCGTACGATTTGTTAGAAAAAACTATAACACCCCGACACAGGTTTCACACGATTTTTACAGCGTCTCCTTGTGTAAATTGTTTCAGAAAAAACTAGTCGATGATCCTTTGATTTTTTGGCGTTTTCCAAACGTTCATCAACACATCATATTTGAACACAAAACCAAGAGTAGTGCACATGTTCGGGAACAAAAGCGCACAACACAATAAAAAAAAAAAAAAAAAAAAAAAAAAAAAAAAAAAAAAAAAAAACAAAAAAAACACCTGCAAACTCCCAACACTGCACATTTCGCCAAAACGAAATTCCAGCACATGCATCATCACCTTACCGATCACTGCACGTAATCGCGTAAGCTCTCGGAATAAAAGATTCCAACGAAGGATTTAGAGGTAAGAAAAAAAAAAAAAAATCCACGTCCTTCCCACTCGCTCGACAACCCGAAACTCGCAAGTTCAAGGTCCCGAAGCGGTCGGTCACCCCCTTGCTGCGCGTAAAGTCCTCAAAGGAGCGTCACCCCTCCCGGCCGAGGGTGAAAAAGTAGGTCGAGGCATCGAATAACAAAAATTTAGTACACGGAAGGAAGGGGGCACAATCACTTGGGAGGGTGGATAAGGGAGGGCGGCGAAAACCGAGGGGGAGGCCGGGCTTATTAACCGCGTGCTCGTGCGTATAGTTTACAATGTGTACGTGTATAGGTGTCCTGTACCTCCTTTGGTGGCGTCCGACATGTGTCCATTCCACGCACGACTGGCCGACTACCACTGCCGTCGCTTGTGCCGCACAGCGTGTGCCTCTCCGATGAAGGGGGGGAGAGGGAGAGGAGCAGCCTTATAATATACATATATACCGCCGGAGCGAGGCAGCAATGTTATGTACGGGTGCTCCCGTCCACGCGCTACTGGTATTATTGCTGACCGAGAGAGTTGGTGCACACGGGTTATTATTGTATATAGGCTCGATCTCGCGCTGTATGTGCCCGTATTGTATACGTAGTTGCATTACGCGTTGGCACAAAAGTCGCGGGTCGGAGAGTTTATATCTCCCTGACACTTTTTCCTCGGCTTTACCGCGCAACTTTGTATTTTTACTGTCGATGCCTTGCAAAGGTTTAATACCTTACACATCAATCCTAGATTTTTCGCCGAATGTCCTTCCTTAATTTCGGCGCTACCAATACCCCACATCACAAATCAGACTAGAATTATATTACATGTCCAAGTATATAGGTATTGGAAAATAGTTTTACATGTATATATACATATATATATACGAGCGTCGGTTGTAAAATTTATTTGCAGTAAAATCTTGTACAGTCGAACAACTAAGAATTCCTAGATCGGGCTCTCGTGATGCTGCGTGCAACAAGTGGGTAATACGTAAGTTTTCAACTTATGCAATACCTCCATATACATACGTATACGCGCCTCGTGCGCGTTAATAGCGATACTTTTACCTTATAACGTACTTACGTAAAGTTTACCAACAATTTTATTACGGCCCCGCTAATAGTATATGACTCAATGGAATTTGTAAATTGCGGTATTGTAACTTCCGAAACACCTAAATACATGGGAGTTCAAGCGAGGATACACACATCGTCGAGATTTTTATCTTGCGCAATTTTGTACGTGCCATTTTTACAGCCCGCTTCAAAAATCTCTTTTTGGAACACTAAATCGTATAGTTATTTTATTTATACCGTAAACTGGAACAATGAAACAAAAAAAAAGGTTTGGTCCTGCACTCGAGTTGATTTCCGGCAACGGAGACCGTTTCAATATTACATATAACTACGACGTAGCACCTCGATCTTCTTACATCGTACGCATACGCGGGTGAATTGCATTACGTAAGCCCAAACAGCCGATGAAATCGATCCGATTCGTCTTGTATTATCGAGTGATATTGCGCGCGTCTATCGGTGAATTATATTTTTGCGTAAACCGAACGATCCATACCATAGTGCTTGGATACTCCACCGCGGGGACATGTTTAGCAACGGCTCGTCGGATGGCACAATTTCCGTGGCGTGATTCCACGGGGAAAATTATCGGCTCGCGCTATTTGTCAATTCGCCGCTGCTGCAACAACGTATAATCTTTTCTCTTTTCCCCCTTCGAAGCGCCCGCACGTCTACTCATTGTTCATTGGCCGTTCCCGACTTGATATCAAGAAGAAGAAGACTATATACTCGGGAGCCGCGTCTGCCTTGCTCAACAACTCTCGCTTCGCTCGCTGATGATAATTACAACGCCATTCGTAAACAAAAGTATTACACCGAGCCGATAAGAGAGCGATGAACGCCGAGTCTTGCTTTTCAGAACTTAATTGCAGCCGAAACCGATACGAACTGCGGAAAGAGATGATAAAAGATGCAGAGAAGGGCAGGGAGATTCACCGCGCAAAATCGAGAGAGGAAAGAGCTGGAAAAACGCACTTTGGAGTAAAGGCGCTGTACTCTTTTACGAAACACGCATTTATACCCGCGGAGTGATAGTAAAGAGCGAAATGGGCGGTGATTTTTGGCTCTTCCGGCGGGTAAGAGGGAACGGGGCATATTTCCCGCGGTCTCCTCGGCCCAATCTCCCCCGCAAGAGCCGAAAATCGACTCCTCCGATAGAGACGGGGCACCGAGTTTGAAAATAATTGAAAAACTTTGGCGGCCAGGCCCTTTGAAACTCCGGCGCGAAAACTTGGGGAAATTCATCAGAGCAATGCGCTTTGGCTACTCGTTTAGAAAACGCTCGACTTTTCTCCCTTAACTTCTCCACCTGTATACATACGTTGAGCGCCCGACTTAATAACGCGAGAATGAAGGGCCGGGAGCTTGCAAACGAAAGCTGGACCGGGCAGCCGGCAATTAAGAGCCATTGTGCCCGAGAAACAAAAGTCGAGGGGGAACCGAGGAGAGTGTCGTTGAATTGTGGGTAATATTGTAATGTTTGCGGCGAGCTAAACGTAATTACAATCGGACAAAGAGCCGTGTTTTCCTCGCGGGGCACATTCGCTCGACGAAACTTTGGCGATCGCTGTTTTTACAAAAGAAAACGTGTGGCACGCTCATACCTCGCTATACACCGAGAGACGCTTCGCCCCATCGCCGTCATGATTATCTCTTTCTCTTTTCCCCCCCCTTTTTTTTTTTTTTCGCGTACAAGACACGTCCATACAGTCATCGACTGAGTTTCTTCGGTGCGGCGTCGAACGAGTGAGTAATAGCCTATACTCTGTCGATGCGATCAGCGACCGCTTTGTTTGTTTAGTTTTCGTGTGTGCAGTGGCCTTGAGCTCGTTTGGCTCTGCGACGAAGCCAAGGACACCTCTATGTTTCCCTCCTTTGGTTGTTTTGACGCTTGGGTATTCACGTAGGTGCCACGGTAAGATTGTCACGAGTGGCGAATCAATGAAGAGATTAATCTCAATAGAGGTAGCCTAATGCAAGCAAAGTGCACTGATGGTCGGTCGCACGATCGTCCACCTGTTCACGTTGTATACGTGCAGTTGCAAAAATGCCGAGTAGCGACACGCTCTCTGACTCACTGACCCACTTTCGAGGTCCAGCAGATTTTCCTGCTCGCTCGCGCAGCTCTTTTTTTTTTTTCATCATTCGCGCGAGTATATCCTCAAAAACGTACGGGGTATTCTTGCTTCATCCGACATTTGAAAACCAGCTGTACACGAGCATCCCTCGCCTTCGTCCTCGACACGTGAACGGGTTCACTTTTTTGTCTCCGGGAGGCCAATTTAAAAGTCCATTTATTTCCGCGAGAGAAGAAACGCCCGCGCGCCCCTGCAGTCGCCTGAACCCGTTTGCCGGGGACGCCGAGCGGCTTGCCTGGTGTTTGTACACGGGCATCCTTGTCCCCATCATTGGAATGTGTAGGTGTAGGTGATGTATATATATATATAGACTTACAGTTCTCGCTGTGCTGCGATTTCGAGGCTCGAGTGGACTGTAATCTTGTCTGAACTTTTTTAGCAAAAAATTGACGTTTCGTCATGCCATTGTACACAAGACTTTCCTCCACTCCATACGAGAATTTTAAACGACGATTAGACCAATTATTCATTCACAGCTATACTTGGTACGAAATTTTTGTTTCGCGTTTGACGAGAACGAATGATTTTTCACGATTTCGCGAGAAAAACTGTTTGCCGACGTAACTGTATTACATGTAGGCTTGACTGCGTGTCCATGGGGGAAAATTATTACCAACTTTATTGCGTTATGTTAATTTTGGTTATCAAACCTAGCACTAGATAGCTCAATTTAATGGAAATTAGGCTTTTGTACATAGACGTGACTGAAAAAAAAAAAAAAATTATAGCTTCACATCGTACTCCCATACAATTGTGTAATATTTTGCACATCCCTGTATTACGATAGAAGGAAGTAGTGGTAACATATTCAACAAGAGTATAGAGTACTGTGGTAAAATTTTGAATTGGTTTCTTTACTAGCTCACGGAAATTATTTGTTTTTATTTGCTGAAACTTGTTTGGTAAAAAAAAAAAAAGGGTGAAAGCTCGTGTATGTTTATTAATAATTTTTTAAAACGATCACAAGGATATACTAATAATATCTTTCTAAAAAAACTGAATTATGCATATATAGTTCAGACTAAAATCCCTACTCCGATTCAAGAACCAATGATTGATGTTTGTAGACAGTTTTCTTCTTAAATGAAAAACTTGAAGACGAATTACAATAACCCGAGAAGGACTGGCGACGTGATCAAGATAACTCGAATAAACGAACAAATAGCTGTTGGCGTTTTTTTGCAAATTTGTGAGAAGGCGACAAAATGTTCAGTCGTGGCGCTCGAAAGCTCGAAATCTTGAGTAAACGTATACAAATTATTCCAAAGACGAAGAAAATTGTCGTTGGGAAGAAAAATAATTGGAGAGCTTGCAGTTGACAGTTGGCTTCAACTCGACCTCCGTGCAAAAGGTTTAAGCAAACACGACGATCCGCCATAAAAGCGAGAGAGAGAGAGAGCCGCGATTGAAAGAGCGCCGAGGAGCCCTTACCAAAATTGAAAAATCCCAGAAAGCCGTGTCGTGCGTGACCCCCGTACCCGTGGCCTCGTTTCCCCGCGATTCCAATCCCCCATTATTTCGCAAGCACCGGGACATATCCTCCACACGCACTCCTCACCGACCAACGGCACACGTGTATAGGGAGCCAGCCGGCCAGTTGGCGCCGACTTGCATCGATTGCAGTTGGCGCCGCTTCCCCCTCCCACGTCCACTTTTGGCACGGGCCACGAGCTTGCAGCACCCAGAAGCCACTACCTTCCCTCTCGGAGATCGAACCGTTGCCCTTTAAATCTCGCGCTCGCTCTCGGACTCTGCGTTAAGCTCCGGGCTTGTATTTTATCCTGGATGCAGTACAAATGTTGCACGTCCAAGGTAACGAAGGACTACGTACATGGGGTATGCTGATGTATCGCACACCGGACCGTATAACTCGGGACATGGGAAACAGCAGGACAATATTTTTGTCCACTGGTCCACGTCGTTTTTTTTTTTTTTTTTTTTTTCAGTCGCGTTTAACGAGATCTCACGGGGGAGACGCGTAAGAGTACAACACACGCGCTCTCACTTTGCAGAGTTATAACAAATTCAAGTAGACTAGGATTTTCACCACCACTGAAAGTGCATGCTTGGCTCCTATATAGCTGTTTTTTTTTTTTTTTTTTATTGAGCTCTGTTTCTTTGCCTAAGGGTTGCCCCCGACTAACTACGTATGTCAAACCACACATGTACGAGAACCAAAGAAACAAATCGTTTGCTACTCGGGCTTTTTGGCTATGATCGGCTATTGTGTCAGCTTCATATCTGATTAGTCCTTTT